GGGCGGGCGAGTGGGCCGGCGCGTGGGCACATAGCCGGGCAGCGGGGGCGCGCAGCGCGGCGCGGTGCTTGCCTGTGCGGTAGAAGTTGAGGATGGAGCTGAAGGACTTGGGGTGGCGGTCGAAGAAGTACTCGTTGTCCACGAGCGAGTAGTCGTCGCACAGCTCCGTGATGGCCTCGTGCGTGTTGCACTCGCGGAGGCGGCCCAGGCGCGTGTGCGGCAGCCGCTCCAAGGTTCGCCACAGCACCTGCGGCACGGCGGAGCACGTCTGCACTCGCACACTCACGCAGCGAACATGAAACTGTTGCTACCAAAGAGGAGGCGCAGATTCCTATTCCTACAGATGTCCTGAGAGAGAGGTGAAGAGACCTTCGCCCCTTTCTAATCTTTGAAGACGTTTTTAAATGTGTTTTGTACCTAGATTATTTGTGGTCTTTATCTACAATAATTTATTTTCTATCATATTTAAAATGTATATATTATATGCCAAAAATGAAGAAATCCCTTTCTAGAAATTACTTTCGATATCTGCTTGTCGCTGTAGCTGAAGCGCAAAGCAGAATTCGCAGCGAAGCAAAACATCTCCACGTCTCGCGCCTTCAGAGGAAGGAGGGAAAGGTCTCCTGCCGCAGCGATTGATTCATTGATTATTCGAGGTGCTTCAAAAGCTGTGGTCATTAGCGCCCGTTAAATGGGAAGGAAAGGTTACGCTCGGTTCATGACTTGTTGATACGGCTTTGCTCCGACACACGCCTGATAATGATCAGGAAATCCACTAATTTGAGCAGTCAGTTTCCGAATTGGATTCCGAAAGGCGCCTCCAATTCAGTGATCATGAACACAACAAACTAATTGTTCGTATTCCGTCGGGATCGAACTCGTGATCTCTCAATCACATGATCGCTCGGCCTTATGTCGTGAGGCATGCGGCTTTTATTTGTAGCTTACTTTTGAAGAGAGCTTCACCACTACAATTTGTAATTCGAGAGACATTACTCGACCAAATTAACAATATTTTCTTATACTAATCATAACCCATATTCTTTCACCCAAGAAAATCTGCAAGAACAAAACAACATGACGGAGATGAAATGTCAGGCTCTGCGTAAAAATTCAAACTTCTTTGACAACACTGGAAGTTCAGTGTATGGTGCCAGGGGAGAAATTACCCTCATTTCAGTTTATGACGAGTGTAAACTATTGAATCCGTTTCCAAGAACTCTCTGAAAAATAATTATCACATTCAACAACAAACCAAATATTGCGCGCCTTCCATACCTCTCCAACTTCACTAAATGAGTAGTTTAGGCCTGAAAAATAATACCAATTTCCATTAAATGTCACAGAAAGAAAAATTCAATGCAAATTGAATGTTCATCATTACTAAAAAGCACGCATTTTTCGTTGTTTCTCAGAAGCATAAATTAGCCTACATATTTCTAACCGCGTAAATTGTACACGCAGTAATATAAAATTTCCAGAAGGGAAATATTTTCTGGTAGACTGCCATTATAAAAGGCCTTTCACGACACATTACATCGTTCATAAAACGGTTTATTACGCTTTAACGTTTTCTGCAAGTTTTTGCAAGGATCTACTAGTGGAGGTGCACATTAACTACATTGATCCATTTGTTCTAAAAATGTAGCTACATATTAATTAAAATATTATTATCTTGATGCCGATAATTTCCAGCACTTACTTTAAAATGACAGATGTAGAGAGAAAAGTCAATAAATATAATATTCATTTTTTTCACTCATAAAAATTCGCAAATCATCGCGTTTAGAGGAGATTTTTCGAGTCATAATATAAAATTTGTTTGTCAATGAAGCTTTAGTGTAGACGTAACATAAACGCAAATTTGAACGGGAACGTAACACGAAACCGTCACGTTCCGCCAATTCCAAACTTTCATATTTACATTAACGCCATCCGAGAACAACACACTATCGTGAAAAACAACAAAACATAACGAACATCTAGCAAAACATGAACAACTTTTAACGTTTTTCTTACACAGAAATTAATGCAGTTTTTTAGATAATAAATTGCCACTCATCATAATTGCTCATGAATCGCTTCAGTGAATTCTTCGTAGCTTCACTGTAGCGCACAATAAACTATATCCTAAGGCACTTGTGTACCTCGATGAATATCTTTCAGTGACACCTTGTTTTTCAAAAGATACAGAATAACAGATCTTAGCTCTATTTTGTCTCAAGCTCTCTCAATATCTGCTATAACAAAATTGACTCTTCAATTGTCGATCAACAAATGCCAATGAAGTTTTTCAATTTAGCGGAAATTCTATCGTTTTGTTATCTCCCAAAAAATTTCTAGTGTCTGGCTTTGCTTCATGATAGTTGCGCTCAGAGACGGATCCAGAAAATATTTCCAAAGTAAATGTGTGTTCGGGGGGATTTAATTTCGGACTCCAACCCCATAAATCTATTCAAGAAATATGGAAATTGTTTTCAATAATAATTGCATATTCAAACAACACCCACTCTGGCTTAATAGTAATACTCCTTTGTAATATTTTTTTATCAATAGGTGATCATTGTTTTGAATACACCGAGTCAAATTTTAAAAACGAAGTGGGGGGGGGTCAATTGCGTGCAACGACAGGGCCTGGTGCTTGGCGTGCACCTCATCCCATGTGCGAACTGAAGTACTTAAACTTAAATAAGTCGTAAACCTACATTGTCTTATTTATGAATTATAAGGGACACGCAATATTTTTTATTTATTATAGTAAGTATCCGAATTGCAATCTAGGGTTAAGCTACATGCAAAAGAGGCACGGCCCGATTGCTTCCCGATCAGTTTTCCTCGCGTGTACAAAATGGATTGCTTCAGTATCGGCGCTTGGAAAGCCATCGTTTCTTTTTTCATGACTTTAAGAAGAGTAAATTATGAGATATCGTTTTATATCTGATTTCAGAAGGATTGTGCTTGTTATTTTGAAGCACTGTCAACAATGAAAACTGCCCTTTAAAACTTTGTGGAGGCAAAACATAAAACGTATCACCTGCATCTTCTTACTTCGCTCACTTAACATACAGTTCCTAATATTCTACCATATTTATCCGTATTCGATATTTTCACTCGGCTGAAGCAAAAACATTATTTTCCTTCTCTCATTAATTTCAATTGAACTACACCGTTACTTCCTTTCCATTTCTGATATACTGGTCGGGATAAAATCTGACTACATCTTCTCAGGCAGCCGAAAGTGAAAGAGCTAACGTGGAAGCATGTGGGAGAGAAACCTGATCGCAGGATGCAATTAGAATACACTTAGATAGAATTGAAAGGGCTCTCTGGGAAAAGTGCGAGAAAACTGAAGTCTGGATACAATCGATCTATGCTTTCTGAGATAGCTATGGTGAAAGAGCTAACTGGGAAGCGTGTGGAAGGCAAACCTGCCATCGGGAAACTCTTTCGAGCGGAATGCAATTGTTCTACACCTCCTGAGGTTTTCAAAAGGAAAAGGCTATGGCAGGAGCATGTGGGAGGAAAACGTGACGCCGGAAAGAAATGCCTGCAAAGGTAGCCAAAAATGAAAGGGCCATCTGAGAAGTATGTGGAAGGGAAACCTGCAATCGGGGAACTCCTCCTGACGGAATGCTACTGGGATGCACCTCCTGAAGTAGCCAAAAGTGAAAAGGGCAACTGGCAGTCGTGTGGAGATGCAATCAGACGGCTGCGCCCTCCCGCCCCAGCGTCAAAGCCCCCAACGCAGGAAGAGTGTGTGAGGGGAGGGGTTCGCACCTCGTGCTTGACGCCGCCCACGTTGATGCAGACGCGCCTGTTGAGCGCCTTGGAGCGCATGATCATGAAGGGCTCGGGCGGCAGCGACGACATGCTGCGGGAGTGGGCGCGCTGCTGCAGCTGCAGCGGCTGGAGCGGCGGCGGCGGCAGCGGGGGCGGCAACGGCGGCAGCGGCGCGCCGCTCAGCGGCGGGGACCCGGCGGCCACCGGCGGGAACGGCGCATACCGCACCTGCGCACACGCGCGCACCTGCACCCCCCCAGCCCGACTCCGCGCGACCGCGCGCAAGGAATGATGCACGCCCCCGAGTCTTCATCTTGGCGGTCCGGGTGACGCCGCGTCGAAGGCCGAGGTGCCGACGTTTCAACCTTTATATCGTGGTCACCCGGGCGCGGCGTCACCCGGACAGATCAGATCGGCACTTCTAGAACATGTAGGGGGGTCGAATATAAACCCTCCTTGCCAACGAACGTGTGCCTTGAAATCTCATTTTAAGGAGCTGAACACTGTTAATAAAGACTGTGTGAAGTGTGAAAGTCGGGGGGCTGCATTTTAATTGAGATTTTTCATTGAAACATTAAGTAAGGGTTTATGTATAATTTGAAAATTTCTAAATTTTCAAAAATGTTCATTTTGTTGCCTCATATTGTTTGTTGTCCCAAAATGTCATTCTGTTGCACCATACATACTTATTTATTTCCTAGATTCTCCCACACTTCTATTTCCTCCCTCATCTTCCCTCAGTATGCCTCTGTACTTCGTACGTCACACAAGATAGCGCCATCTTAGGACTTGTCACGTGATTAATTTATGTTACTTGGGTAAGTACCCTATTCATATAAATTTTGAAGGGGTCATTTGTAATTTGCATTTTTTCTGTATGTCATGGTTTATTCATATGCTAATTTGTTCCTTCATTTTCAATATTTCAGAGCCTCTGATGTTGCGATAGTGTCTCGAAACACGTGTACGGTTGAATTTTCTGTTTATTAAAACTACTTGTGGGTGAAACCTCTTATATCTTGAATAAATAATGATGGAGTACCACTATATCTCTGTTGCCACTACGGAATTTACGTAAAAGAAGATAAGTAATTTATTGAAATAACATAAGAAATATGGCCGTTAAAATGGACCGTTAGTTTGACATAAGATTCCCTCTGATTCTCTTTTGGGAAATACAACAGATAAAATATATGTTTTACTATTTTCTAAATGTTAAACATTTAATTATTTTATAGAGGAATATTGATTACCAGATTATAATACATTTGTTTTTTAAAGATAAGGTCCGCAAAAGAGGATATATTTCAATTAATTGAACTCGGAACACAAACAATAGGAGGGTGAAGGATAATCCTTTTGAGATATCGGGCCTCGATGAAGGGACCTTCTTAAGCTAACCTTATGAAGGCGATAGTAAATCCAAAGAGTCAAACGCGGCAGGGGGGGGGGAGGGTAGTGTGATTCTCGCGGAAGTTGTACTCTGAGGGCCTCTTACGATCTCTTTCGAAAGGCAGGGCGATCACACAGTTGGAATATTCCATTTTCTGGGGCTTCGACTACCCTCCAAACAGAAAAGTTCTCACGCATTCTCTAGAATGAATTTACGAAGCACACTTCTCAGAGGAGGAAAGTAACGATTGAACTAATACCTATGAAGGGAATTCAAAAATAATTTTAAAATGTTCGATTGCAAAAGGGGGCATAGGTAGCCTTTGAAAGATTTTGGACCCACAACCGAGAGCCAAGTGATAGGTGGAATATTTAATGTATATTGCGGTTAAGTTCGTGTCACAAAATATGACTGTAATGACTCCAAAATAACCTAAATTTATAGTTTAATCATTTTAAAAAAATATGTAAGTTTAGTGTACATTGTAATGAATTTTAAAACAGGATAAGATATTTCATAAAACACACCACTGTCATCTTAAGTAGATGAACAAATGCTTTATAGTTCATTATGTTGAGAAACTCTTTGTTACAGCATAGCCGTTTTTTAACAATTTATCTTTTTCTATGACGTCGAGAAAGTTGTTCTTTAAGTTAGGGAATGCTGAAAATGTTTTAAGGGTTGTCGAAGAAAAAAAAAACATTTTTCTTCTGCTATATTTAAAAATTATCAGAAGAAAAAATATGTTTATTCAATTATACTTAAAAACAACCATCATGAAATGTATTTTTTTTATTTTTCCTTTTCTCTTTCGAACAACGCCGTTTAGTACAGAAAATGAATTTATGTTATGACAAAATGAAATAAACCATTTTTATGTCATTTTTTGCATTTTTCGTCAATTTCGACTAATAAGTCATTTTTTACCTTTTACGTCATCTTGAATGCATTTTTTGCTAATTTAATCGATTTGAATATCATTTTAATGGGACTTGCTTCAAGCAATATTTACGAGGAGCAACAAATTTTCACCACAGAATTCCTGAGTAGCGTATCGATTACTTCGTTAATATACTATTGTAACGTGAGCCGTTGTTAGTACTTTGTAATGTAAGGTTCCTGTTGCACCACCTATCGGCGCCATTTTCAGTTCGGGCGATTCTGCGATAATTAAAGGCAGAGATTTTCTTTTAAAGATCAGTCCAAACCAAACGTTTGCAGGATGAGTTCACCTGAACATAAAGAACGAGCCTCGAATACATCAGTAACATAGGCAACAACTTGAGTTATTCACATGAAGTGGTTTAAAATTTTTACGCCATTTTACTTTGTTTTAGGGCATTTTACTGCAGTTTAAGAGCATTTTATTGGTCATTATTGGCAATGACGTATGTCATGAAGCCCTCTCTTGCTGAGACATTTGAAGAGCTCTGCGAGACTGACCTCCTTGCCGCCGGGGCCGGGGCCGGGGCCGCCCGCGTCGTCGGCGGCGCACGGCGCGCCCAGGTCGCCGCCCATGTCCCAGCGCACGCCGCCGGCCGCCGGCTCGCGCGCCGGCTC